CCTACAAAGAGTAGGGGATATAATTCTGCAAGGGCTTTTACCCTGAAGACCCCAAGGGTGAGTTGTGCTTGAAAGTCTACAGCATCACAAGAAGGTGGGGGACAAGGATGGAGTTGGAGAATATCAGAAGCAGGAAAGGGAATTGCTTTTGCACTGGAACAAGCCAGCTAAGGAATCCAGATAGAGCTAATATGAAAACAGGAATGTTAAAGGAAAGGAGTTTTGTGGGTTAGCAATATAGTTGCATCTTGTAAACTCAGTTATCTGAAAGGCTGTCTGAATTTTCTAGAATAGTTTGCCAAGACATTTGCCAGTTAAAAATTTCACTTTATTTCAGAGTTAATTTTTGCAAAACTTTGTAGTATATAGATGCATTGGAAGTACATGTCCATGAAAGTCACAATTGTATTTTCATATACTCAATACTGAAATGTGTTTTTAGACACTTGAAAACTTTATCATTTCAACTTCACTCACCCAGCGTTGTTATAAATAAAGTATTCATCAAAGATGAACAAGTCTCCCACCTCACGTGCTTTTGTTGTGATCAGGTGTCAGATCTCTTAACAAAGATTTTTTTTTTCTCTTTTTCTTTGGCTTGAATTTAGTGCTTTACACTCACTCATCTTGCTTGCTCACAGCTGGCACTCTACCACTTGAGCCATATCCTAAGCCACCTTTTTGCTGCTGGAATCTCATGGACTTTTTTTGTCCAGGCCACCTTGGTTCTCAATTTTCCATATCTCATCCCAGCCTCTTAACAGACATGAGTCACTCATCTTAGGAACTCGAAGAAATTAAATAGGCTAAGAATATTTGGCACTGGGCCTGGCACTGGTGGCTCACACCTGTAATCACTAAGCTACTCAAGAGGCTGAGACCTAAGGATGGAGTTCAAAGCCAGACTAGGCAGGAAAACCTGTGAGATGTTTATCTTTAAAAAAAAAAAAAAAGCACCAAAAAGCAGAAATAGAACTGTGGCTCAAGCACTAGCCTTGAGCAAAAAAGCTTAGGCCCTGAGAACTAAAAATTTAAACTCATTTAAGCATGATTGAATATTTGAGAGCAACTGTTTAAGATGTATGAGCTATAAGGTGCCTGTTTGCTCCATATAATCTAAAACAATTTACCAAGCTTTAGCTTTAAGCTTGGTAAATAACATCATTACAATAATTAGTTATTTGGAGTTTATTTCTCGTTCTTATAGTAATTTGAGGGTTGCCTTTGTGGTAGGGGGCCAAGTGAACTGGAACCAAGTGTCCAGGGTTGACCTTGATGTTTACTTTCTGAGTTTCAGGTCTCTTATGAAAGAAGTAATAATTATTTCATCCTGAAAGAAATGTCATGAAGACTAAATACATTAAAACATTTAAGATACTGAACATAGTTAAGTGTTCAATAAATGTTGACTGTTACAGGTTTGCTAGGGCTCAAAAGATTATCAGATTATGAGCATTTCAAATTAGGAATGCCCAGTTAGTAAAGTCTGGTAGTAAAATTCTAAAACTGAATTGTATTCCCAAGCTTTAAGATAAGAGATATTTATCTCTATTGCTATTATGGAACAACAACATTAATGCCTTAGAAACAGGCTCTTTTTGTACATGGTAACATGGATCTTATATTTATGCATTTTGCCTATGATTATTCCCAAATTTAATCCATGCTAAAAAGGTATTTATAATTATAATACGTTAGACTATAGTATGCCTTTTCCAACCAAGCATCTTTTAAAATGCTTTTAAAATGATCAGCATTTTAAAATCTTTTAAAACACTCATCAAGCATGTATTGTAATCTGAACTCTCCAAAAATGGAAATAAGCATAGAAATTATATTCACAAATAAATATGGCATGTTTCACTAGGATTTCCTATCGTTTGTATAGTGAATTAAATTAGAAACATGAATTAAATTTAATATCTCAGCTAAAACCTAGTCTATAATTAGACCGAAATAAAATTAGACAAAAATAATTAGGGAAGCATAACAAATATATACTTGTTATGATTTAGTTTTTGTATATATATATATATATATGACGTTTTTCAAATGTAATTTATATCATACATTGTTTTCTCTTTTTTCATGGTACTGGGGATTGAGCTTGAATACAGTACAGGACATAGACTAAGCAAGCCCTCTGCCACTAAGCTATATTCCCCTACCCCAATTGATATTATTTAATCACAAATAAATATTGTTTTTTATTAACAGTATGGTTAATCATTTTGACATATAGTTGTCTTTAAGCTTCAGAATGTGTGAAAGGGGGATATAATTTGGTAGTATTTGCAAAGTTTTAAAACTTTCATTTTTAAAAAGTCTATTTTTAAATTATTTTCTATTAGTAGATAAATAGAATATTCTAAATGTTTTTACATTGTTAATTTTTCCCCTTGAAGGTGCAATTTATCAAACAGAAGTGTCCTACAAGAATATAACCTTTAGTAATTAGGAAACATTTTAACCTCATTTAACATCTGTATCAGATGTGACATGTATACTTTTTTGCTAGAAAAATGTCTTTGTAACTTTCATGCTTCTTCTGTATGGTGACTCTTTTATAGAGCATTTTAAGCAATTGATAAGCATTATTCAGTGGCATATGGTATGAGTCTGACATGCTTTGAAAAAGAGTACAGAGTCTGATAATGAGGATTCTGTGAAAATGGAAAAACCAGCACAACAGATATGTTTGAGAAAGTATGGGTTTTTAGCATCTTGAAACAATATATCACACTCAAAGGGACAGAACTGGGCTGCACAATCTGTTAGCTCATTCTTGTCCAATCTGGTCTTCTCCTTTCTTTTGGAGCCAGCATTGTCATCAACTCCCTGAATTATATTCTGACTGGAATGTATTTCAGGCTCAGAGTAATGTATCTACTTAAATGGAATCCTATCTTTCTACAAAAGCTTTTTGGGTATAATAAATTTAAAATACAAAAAAATTCTATTAAGTTAAAGTAAATGGTTCAACAGTTTACATATGTGCCTCCTCCCTCACAACCACTACTTTGAAAAACATATATCTGTTTTTGTTTTATTTGTAGGATACTGAAATTTTTTTGTTTAACTATCAGGTGGTTAGACATATTTCAAAGGCTACTAATTGTAAAAACACATATATATTGCTACAAATATGAAACAGATATGAATTGTGTAATTAAAACATCCTTATTTTGTTATTATGGTTATTCTTAATTCTACAGCAACTCTTTTTTAACAAGAATTAACCATATCTATTTCATGTACGCTGGGACTTTTAATTAGAAACATACTGAATTGTATAAAAGAATATTATATTGGATCTTTATAACTTTATATAAATCATTAGATGTGATAATCTTTGTAAAATGATATTCACAATGTCAGGCACATAATGAATGCTCAAGAAATGGTATTTATTATGAATGTTTTAAGCTTATATTACCTGAAAGTTTTCTGAAATGTCTTGCTTGTCTTATGATGTTTTGATCAAGATGAACTTATATTTATTATAAGTACAGCGATAAATACATATATGATTTAAGTACAGTGATAAATATATATGACTTAATACCAAAATTATATTTTTAAATTTATACAGGCTGTTTTAGTAGTATTTTATGCTTAATGATTGAGTAATAACTATAAATTCTGCTTTTTATGTTTAGATTATACTGAATTCATCCATAGACCCGATGTAGTAAATGAAGTTGTTGTTTTGTGATTGTCCTCATGAGAATTTTAAGTCTTTCCCAGTTTGGATAGGCAAATTGTTCTTTTTAATGCATTGATTTATGTGTAACTTGGGGGTGGGGAGAGTGAGGAACAGCTAGTCCTCCCAGATGCAAAAGGCAGAATATTAGTACCTCACCACACTTCCTGACACAGGATTTTCCCCCCCTCTGGTAAATGGTATATTACTTTTTAGGTGTGACTGACATGAGTACCATAAATTAACAGACTTATTTTTATTTATTTTACTAATATAGCTGGAAAAATACATGAAAATACTTGTTAGAGCAAGAACAAGAACATCAATGTTTACTCTTACCTAGCAGTGTAATTTGTAGCTATTTAATTCATGAACTATTGAACAAAAAAAGTAAGGGTATCTAACATGGAGACTGTAATATGTTTATAGTTGTGTGCTTTTCTGAAAAATAACTATGAATAGGTGTCAGTGTCCATAAAACAAGTTTATATATAAGGTTAATGGTATCTATGACTATAGAACATTAGAGAGGAATAAATGCTGTAAAATTATTGTTATTGTTGCTAATTTATAGATAAAGCAACTGAGGCTCAGATAGGTGTATGACTTGCTAAAGGTCACTAAATTCAGTAAGAAAGTGTAAACTGGAATTATCGTTCCTGATGAAATTACAGCTGATTTTTTTCACTATAGTTTGTGCATATTGAGTAAATTTTTGCAACAAGATGAACAGAGACACTGAAACATTGTAGGAAATATTATACCTGTTTGTTGTTTTTATTCAGTAAGAAGATATTCTATTTACCTATATATTTCCTTTGCATAAAAATAAAGCAGAAAGCATATAAACTAGCTTATTTGAAATATATATTCTCCATAAATAAATATTCTTTCACGTAACATAGCTTTCCTAATCTCTGTAAAGGGGCCTATATTTTTCTGTCCATATGTCACAAAAAGTAAAGCAAAACAATCAATTTGCATATAGTCTCAGTTTGAACAATTTAAAACTTATGTACATATATCTTTTTTTTTCTTTTTTTAATTTTTTTTAATTTTTTTTTTTTTTTGCCAGTCCTGGGCTTGAACTCAAGGCCTGGCACTGTCCCTGAGCTTCCTTTGCTCAAGGCTAAGCACTCTACCACTTAAGCCACAGCCCCACTTCTAGCCTTTTCTGTTTATGTTGTACTGACGAATTGAATCCAGGGCTTCATGCATGCTGGGCAAGCACTCTACCACTAAGGCACATTCTCAGCCCTGATGTACATATATGTTGTATTTGGATTTTTATTTGCAGATGGAGAACATCATTGGAACAGTAAGAGATTCCAACCTAAAGTTGACACTTGCTTTTGGCATAGGAATGCACCATGCTGGACTACATGAAAGGGATCGAAAAACAGTAGAGGAACTGTTTGTGAACTGTAAAGTTCAGGTATTGTTTTCTGGTTTGTTTTGTTTTTTCACTCTCCCAAACACATTTAAAAGTAACTTAAAAGTTATATTCTACTTATGTATATTATCTTTTTTTTAGGTTCTGATTGCTACAAGCACATTAGCCTGGGGTGTAAATTTTCCAGCTCATTTAGTAATTATAAAGGGAACTGAATATTATGATGGAAAAACAAGACGCTATGTGGATTTTCCCATTACAGGTAATTTTTTCTTAATCGACAGAGATACAATATGCTCCTAGATAACCATAACAATTTAAATTTAATTTTCAGAATCAAATTTTCATAATTGATTCCATTTAAACATGTGATAAGCAAATTATATTTTTTTATTTCTAATGTACATATTTTATAATATACTTAACTGTTTTCCTAATAATGAATAATATAACCATAGTTTTAAATTCACAAATAATTTAAAGTACTTATTAGTAGCTATTGAAATCAATAAAATTAGATTTATATTCATTTTACTAGAAATGATACTTTCCTGGGGCTTCCAGAACCAATGCATGAGGAGTCTAATGAGATATTTTCCATTGAAATAAAAACATTTTTATTGGATTCCAAGGAGAACAATATACTCAATGTATATTTCTACTCAGTAAATACATTCAAAAGCCAAATAACGCTTAAATCAGTAATTATCTTGTAATGTACAGTGTATAAAAGAGGGAACTTTTTCAAATGCCCTATTACCAGTAGGAAAGAGAGTCAAATAACTTCATTGTGTATTTTTTTTGTATATCCTCTTACTTAATTAAAATAGCAATATCTATTAAATAGCATTTTTAGTCATTTAATGGAAGAGGACTTTCATCTTTCTTTTACAAATAACAGGAGATACCCTTTGGGCACTCTGTTTTGCATTATGGTGATTTGCTTACCAAATATAAATGTTTAGAATAAATTGCATTAATTTAGGGAACTTGATAGTAGCCATCAGAGATAGCATACGTTCCCTTAAAACATCCGCTTTCCTTGTTATTTTGACCTTATTAGAAGCCAGCCATATATGGTTTTACCTTGTGCTGTGTATGACACTGCAGAATAGTTGTTCTGTCTTTCCCAGACGTACTGCAGATGATGGGACGGGCTGGGAGGCCTCAGTTTGATGACCAAGGCAAAGCAGTAATTCTGGTTCATGATATAAAAAAGGACTTCTACAAGAAATTTCTTTATGAACCTTTCCCAGTAGAATCAAGGTAATTTTTATTTTAGACTACTTTAAATGGATTAATATCATAGCAGGTGGGTGTTTTTCTCATTGTATTTTAATCAGTACAATTAATTGGTAGTGTAACAGATTTTGTTGATGTGGAACAATATAATTATCATTGTAAGATAACATAAAATTATAATTTTGATTAAAAAAATAATTTTACAAAAGAGCATTTTAGTATGGTGTCTGTACCCACTACAGCATTGGGTCTGGTATCAAATGGCCTAGATTGAAATTTGAGTTCTGCTACTTGTTTGCTTCATAATGAGTGAGTTACTTGACTCCTCAGAACCTTAGTAAACCTTTGTATAAATGGAAATTATAGCAGTATCTGATCTCTCACAGTGTACCTATTTTTGTGTTTTTTTTATTGTTGTTTGGGGGATAAATGATTAGTTTTGTCTGGCATAATTTCTTTTTTGTTTTTTGGTTTTTGGGGGGAGGGGGGTTTGAAATAGGATCTTGCCATGCTGTCCACGGCCTCAAACTCACAAACCTCCTTCCTCAGCTACCTTAATGCTAGGATAACAATTATAAACTGTCATGCCCAAATCATAGTGTATTTGTAATGATCAGATCAATATTGCTTTGAACAGTATCTGTCAACTAGTAAACATTCTGTAAAGTCTTTGTTTGAGGAATATGCTTTAGTCTAGTTAATAAATGTCCACAAAAAGAGGACATATAATTAGTAATTCATATTTCCAGCTTATTTCATAAGTTTTCCATACTTACTGTACATCCAATAACTTCCAATTCTGTTGCAAAGTTTTCCCTATTTTCTCAGTTGAAAATTACCTTTCATTCTTTATTTGGGTTTTTTTCACTTGTAATATATTATGTTGTTATGTAATGTGCCTTTACAGTTTCTAACTACATTGGGGACAGACATGCCTTTTATTAATACTATAAATTGTTATCTTCAGTTAACCACCAAAAAGCCTGACGTAGAGCTGTAGCTCAAGTGGTAGGCACTACCCTTGAGCAAAAACCCCCAGGGACAGTGCCCAGGCCCTGAGTTCAAGCTCCAGGACCAGTACAAAAGGGGGGTAAAAAAAAAAAGGATAACAGCAAGAAATAATTACAATAATTATATGTTAGAGATAAATCAATCTTTTCATTAAAAAGATTCTATCTATAATTTAGCTATCCATGAAGCTGAGATCTTAGGATCATAACCAGCCTAGGCAAGAAAGTCTATGAGACTCTCATCTCTAATAAACCACAATAGAGTTGTGGCTCAAATGGTAGAGTACTAGCCTGGAACAAAAGAAGCTCAGAGATAGCATCCAGGCCCAGAATTTAAACCCCAGTACTGGCACACACACAAAAAAGAAGAAGATTAATAAAATTTATATATATTTAGATTTAAATATCAGTAATGAAAAGGTACCATAAATATTAAAAGCACTATGAGACATTGTACTTTATGTATTGTGCTAGATTTCAAGCTACAGGAATATGCTGAGGAAAATAAATAGAAGCCAGAATATCTCTGAGCAAAATAAGGAGTAGAAACGCATTTTTGAGGCACTGGCAATAATAATCTTGTATTAATTCACATTGTAAGAATTTGTTTAATATGTATAATTTATGTGACTAATTCATCTTACGATGTATATTTAAGTTGTATAATTTATGTGATTTTAGTACAAACAGCTATTTTTAACTTTGTACCATAATATGACCATTATTTTTTCTACTATAGACATAAATACTCTATATAATATTTATTCATTTCTCTGTTACTGTACATCTATAGTTTTCATGGTTTTTTCTCTTAAGTATAATGTTAAGGTGAGCCATTTTGCTGTTCTAGTGTAACATGTAAACGTTACTTTAGCAGTCATAATGAAAAGTGAAATTGCTGGGTCACAGTGGCTGTTCAAGTAAATAATGTTATTTGCTGTCCAAATTGAGTATCCATTTTTGAGCGTAACATAGCATTTTTTGTAGCAACTAATTTTATTCTTTTCTCATATCAACTTTGCTTCTTTCTCTATCCTGTCATCTCTTTTTTGTAATCTCTCCTTTAATCTTCCTCAGTACACATTTCATACCTTAGTAGTTTATAAGTATAAACTATCTCTTCCATGGCCTCCTTTTATTCATGTCCCTAGGCATTCATCTTTTGAAAATTACAACTCCATTCCTTTAAGTTTATGCTTTTTTTCCTAACAATTCATTTCCCCCAAATCAATGAATCAGTAGATATGATTAATAGCAATGACATCCTATTGAATAGTTATCAAATGATGCATATTGGTACTGTCTCTCAACAATTTATTAACTAAATTCTCATGTTATTATATTTTGTGATAGTCTAGCTCAGAATGGCCTACTTTTTGTACTTTTTTATTGTTAAAATGCTGTACAGAGGGGTTAGAGTTACATGAGCTAAGTAATGAGTACATTTCCTATTGAGTATTGTTGCCTCTTCTTTAATTTTCCCCTTAGCACCCCCCCACCCTCCCTACCTCCTTCCACCTCCTCCCACCCCTTCCCCCCTGCCGAAGTGGTAAAGTTCATTTTCAACATAGTGTTTTTTGTACATCTCATTGTTACAATGGGTCAACCTGTATCCTTATTTAAGCATTTTTCCCCTTTTTTCCCTGAATTAGAGAAGTGTATATACAAGATCTTATAAATTGGTCTACCTTTTTTTTTTTTTTTGTCAGTCATGGGGCTTGAACTCTGGGCCTGGGTGCTGTCCCTGCGCTCTTCAGCTCAAGGCGAGCGCTCTACTGCTTGAGCCACAACACCACTTCCGGTTTTCTAGTGGTTAATTGGAGATAAGAGCCTCATCTCCCTGGGCTGGCTTTGAACCATGATCCTCAGATCTCAGCCTCCTCAGTAGCTAGGATTACAGGCATGAGCCACCAGTGCCCGGCTTATTCATACTTTTTAAAAAGAAAACAAGAACATAAAGATATATGTTATGAATACAGGGTCTTGAAATCATGATACTGATTCATTTTATAGATTCATGATGAAAGGACATTAAAACAAATTCCTTACTAAAGATATGTTTTAAATTATTTGCAAATTACATGTTATATGAAATATGCTTTTATGTATCTTAAAACATAGAATCTGAGTCTTGACATATAAGCTAAGTTTGTTTTGTTTAACATCTCTGTATGTTTCTAATGTCTTATTCATCTGTAGCTTGCTAGGAGTGCTCTCTGATCACTTAAATGCAGAGATTGCTGGTGGTACAATAACATCTAAGCAGGATGCAATGGATTATATCACATGGACTTACTTTTTTCGACGTCTTATCATGAACCCTAGGTAAGTAAGAGTTGTTTTGTTTTGTTTTGTTTTGTTTTTGAAGGGCAGTTTTTTATCTTGATATTTTCATTGCAAGAATATGTGTTTGAAACTTCAAACTCATATTTTTAAGTCAATACTTTAGACATTTGTAGGTATATAAATTTGTCAGATAAGCAGATAATGTTTCTGATAGGATCACAGTGTATCAGAGATTAATTATGTGCATTTGCTACTTACATTAATTGCCTTCAAATATCCTCAGGAGTTGCTGTGTATTTGGGAGACAAGGCACCTGAAGTCATTAAAAAGTGTGTAAAAAGTGTAGTGACTGACAGAGGTACAGTTAGTAGGCAGAAAATGGTGAGGTTGGTTGAATTGTTGGAGAAAAAGTAAAGGCATTTTATAAGGGTTAACAAGAACCCTGCAAGATAAAATGAAATTGAGGTTTGCTGAATTATCTTTCACTCTTAGCAGTAGTCAATGCTAAACTGAACTACCTCAAATTCTGTGAGAGTGAAAACTTCAAAGAAAAGATGACACTTTATTCAAATCTTGAGTAAAAAACTGAAGTAGAAAAGATAGAATTAAAACAAAAATATACTCCAGGAGCTAAAATCCTCAGTGTTTAAGAGTCGTATTGAGAGAATACATTTATTCTAACCCAACCTTGTTGGTATTAAGAAAATGGAAGTGGGATACCTAAGCAGCTTTCCCTGTATCCCATAACTATTTTGTGATAAAGTCAGGATTTGGAATCACTGTCCTAATTCTAATTTCAACACTACCCTTTATTAACAGGGTGAGCTGGAGTCACTTCCTCTATGACCTTTATTTTCTTTATATGCAGGGGAACAGCCTACCTAACTTACTGGCTCTTATCGATAGTCAAATAAATAAATTAAAGCCCTTCTAGTTCTATATTAATTATAAAGAGCACTATCCCATATTCCTTCCCAGTTACTTTGCTGCTCTCTCCCATCCAGTGAGAAACTAAGCACCTCACTATTTGAGTCAGCTTATCTGATTCGCACACAGGAAGAGGCAAATTAGTATCTCCTTAAAAGAAACAAAAAGCCAGGCACTGGTGGCTTATCCTGTAATCCTAGCTACTCAGGAGGCTGAGATCTGCGGAACATGGTTCAAAGCCAGCCCAGACAGGAAAGTCCGCAAAACTCTTATTTCCGATAAATCACTCAGAAAACTGGAAGTGGTGCTGTGGCTCAAGTGGTAGAGCACTCACCTTGAGCTGAAGAGCTGAGGGATACAGAGCTCAAGTAACATGATTGTTAAAGAAAGGAGGAAGGAAGGAAGGAAGGAAGGAAGCAAGGAAGGAGGGAAGGAAGGAAGGAAGGAAGGAAGGAAGAAAGGAAGAAAAAGAAAGAAAGCAACGAAGGAACTAAAAAACGAAAAACAAACTTTTTTAATAACTCTGGAGTTGGAACTCAGGGACTCACACTTTCTAGGCAGTCTCTACCACTTCAGCTACACTTCAGTCCTTTTTGTATAGTTATGGTTGTTCTTCATGCCTGAGCCTGCCTGGACTGTGCTCCTCCAACTTGTACCTCCTCATCCTGCTAGGATGATAGACACACACCACTATGACTAGCCATTAGTCAAAATGCTTGAGCTGTTCTTGAACTGCAATCTCTTGATCTCCACCTTGTAAGTTGCTAGGACTACAGGCTTGAGACACCACACATAACTAAAAAATGTTTTAGTTTTGTTTTTTTTAATCTTTTGACTTCATGTTGAAAGAATTTGAGACGAAAAAGAAAATTGTAAAAATAGTACAAAGAAATGCAACCTTCCTCCCCCAAACTTCCCCAAATCCATTCACATTGCATCATTATCAGTCTAGTATGGTTATCAAGCCATATCTTAACTGTCAGAAAATTGGCATTTATTCAATGTTATTGATTAACCTAGAGGCTTCATTCATCTTTGTAGTCCATTGTGGTAGCATCCTGCATTGCATTTAGTATTTCATTCACTCCAGTCTGTAACATTTCCTCAGTCTTTCCTTGACTCATAAAAGATACTGGCCACTTATCTTATACAATAACTTTTAATTTGGTTTTGCAATAATACTGCAGAAGAAAGAGTATGTGCTTGTCAATACATACTATATATAATATGCTCTTCTCTGGTGTTACCATTATATAATTTAAATGTTGCCCTAACTGAGAGACACTGAAACATTGTTTATTACAGCCTTCCACGTGAATTCATTTCAAACTTTCTACATCTAAAACTAAATTATTCATAAAGCTATCAAAATCTCCCTCTGGTCTAATCTTTATACCTCTACATTTATTTACTTCACACTCCAAATTTGCTTTTTAATTTTCTCTCTTTCTATACCATACATGTGCAACTGATTAACCTGGCTTCTCCAGTCTAGACTAATTTATAAACTGTCAAGTGTATTGATCAGACATTCAATGATTTATATAGAAAATAGAAACTAGATATGGTTTAGTTTTCTTTGAGCTCACATAATAAGTAGGAAACTGCCAAGTGTTTGCATTTTAACTTCTTATCCTTGAGAGTAAGATGAGCCAAGAGCACAGTTGGAAAACCAAGCAGAGCAGGGTTCCCACAGAGAGCTGGAGTAGATCTCACTCCCTGTTGCTCTGGTTCCAAACTATCTTCTATTTAGTAATATTATGGTGACAAAATCCACATGCAAGTGTAATTAACGTAGTAATTAGGAGCAGAATAAAAAGCCCAGGAGAGAGACTTAGCACAGTGAACTGAGAACAAATTTTAGTGGGAAATTATGCTGAACCATTCATCCAGGGAACTTCTTAGGTGTTGGTAACTTGAGTGTGTCTAGCTCATCATGATTGAAACAAGTATTTCTTAGTTCACATTACCTCAGCTATCTTATCTAATGGCCATACTTGTCTTAGTGGAAATTTGAGGACTGGAAATCAGAAAGGATCCATCATCTTAAGGATTTGGCTTAGAGCACTTAATGCGTGTGCTAGCTTCTTTCCTTGCCCTGTGGACCCATAGTAGGATTATAGATCCCCACTACCACTACAAGGTCAGATAAATGGAAAAAGACATTAACCCACATCACCTCTAGGTAAGAAGTTCTCAGACTTTTGCTGACACTCTTCTTTCTACCTTAAATATCCTTCCTAAACCTTATAGCCAACCATGGGCTTTCTTTTGTTCTCTCATTGTGGTGACTGGCATTTGGTTATATTTTTATTCTTGTCTGTGTTCAATTTATCTTTCCCATTTATTTTCCAGACTGAAAAAAAGGTTGAAGTAGTCTAAAATCATTTTTCTCAGATGGAGGGTTTGTATTATGTTAGTTATTCCTTACTATTTCTTATTGTCCAGTATTATCAATGAAGATTTTACTTTTCTAGGGTGGGAGGGGTACACATGCAAAGTTGTCTGCAAGCATAGGTAGCAAACAGATAGGATTAGTTAACCATAGAAAAGGAATCTACTTTCAAAATACAATCCAGGTTGGTTCCAGTTGCTCAAGCCAGTAATCCTAGGTACTCAGGAGAGAATCTGAGAATCAGTTTAAAAGCTGCCCAGCTAAAAAGCTGCAAGTGGAGGACTGGCTAAAATGGTAGAGTACCAGTTGTGAGTGAAGAAGCTGAGCAAGAGCACAGGCACAGAGTGAAGCCCAGTACCAGCAAATAACAATAATAATAATATAATCATACATAGGTAAATGAAGATGACCTGATTCTCCAACTCCCTTCTTTTAGTCATACTATTGCTGTACTATCCCTATCCTCATTGTACCAACATCAGAAGTAAAACTTACATTGACAAAAAACTGCAATCATTGTTCCAGGGTTCCTCACTATATGTCTAAATTGTTGAGCACACTCCATGAGAATTATACATATATATGTACAAATGCATATACATGTAACAATATATAATTATGTACATCTGTACACATATGCATGCAAATGCATATATATACATGTATGCAAAGGTATATAAGTATATATACCTGTACACACATGTGTTGACTTCTATAGATTTGTTTTTATGTCTGTCAACACATATGCTGGTGCCTTTATAAAATACAATATATTCCAAATTGAGTTCTGGATTCAATTTGGATTTTCAGTTTTATTCTCTTTTCCCCTGAGGAAGATTTTAAATATATTTCGGGCAAAAATGTTCCCTGCAACCACTTTCATTATTTCTGTCATTATTACTGCTGCATAATCTGAACATAAAGAAACATGGTGCTGTAACAAATGACTTCTCAGTACTGACAGTTATAGCAGCAACATTTCAATACTGATGAAAAATTTCTCAGTAAGATAGCCAACCAGGTTTACATCAACCAAACCGGAAAAGGCTGCCACTATTCACATTAAATCCAAACTGTCTGGTGGAACTTTAGCTATGTTTTATATTATTATAAAATCTCCTTTCCACACTGATGAAATCTTTGTCAGTATTATTCTTGAAAAAATATGTTTCATATATAATATTCTTGTTTGTCCTTCAATTGGATCTTTCAGATACAATTCTTGCAAATTTTTTTTAGTTTTTGATGTTTAAATTTTATAAACTTTGTAAATTTTTATGATAGGTAGAGGTTTGTTATGACTTTTTCCCAGTGGACAGCTAATAGAAGTTAGCTTGTCTAGCCCATGTGCTAGATGCTGTCAGTATCAAACTGCCTTTGACTTTCACACCTCTCAGGGGACTAGTAATTGTTGTGTTCAAACAGCCTGTAATTGTGGTCCCGCTGGCTTTCTCAGTACGCTTCTGGCTATTAGAATCATTAAACAACTCAGCACCTGTTAACAGCATTGTAAATATTCAACCCTGCTTGTGTGCAGGTTGAGTCCAATATAGAGAAATCTTACAGAGCTCAGTCTCATAAATTAGAGCTTCTGACAAGTCAATTATTGTGAAACTGGGTTTCTCTGTGAAATAAATGAAATAGCTTGCTGACAAAAGGGTAGGCTGTCTGTTTATAGCAAAGGGAAGATAATGACTTGATGATTCAATGCATTGAGCATGAAACTACATTGTGTCCTTTATCTGTAATTAAACAGTTGTGGGATATTGTTTAAATAACCAGCAAATTATAAATTTTGAACTGTAGAGAATGCAACATGAAAACAAAGCTTTTTAGTTGGCTGTTGCATGCTTTTTCAACTTAGGAAAGTGATCATTGAAATGAAAGATATGTACTATTTTAAGTTATATGCTTAATCTTGATCAGGCAAGAAGCTGATGGTTCTACTAAATAAACTCCATTCTTTGTTCACCCCAAAGTATCAGAATATACAACATACTAATTTTCATGTGCCCTAAAAATAATTCCATTTATATTTTACTCTAGTATTTAACAATGTATTCTAAATTATGTATTTAATAAATAATGTAACAGTAGCTTTTTTTTCTCTTTTGGTGGTGTAGGGGTTTGAACTCATGGGCTTGTACTTGCTGAGCAAGTGCTCTACCACTTGAGTTGCACCCCAGTCCTTTTTCTTTCCCTTATTTTTCAGATAGGGTTCTCTGCTTTTTGTCAGGAAACACAGATAGCTATCTTCCCAATCTCCACCTCTTGAGTTGCTGAGATACAGATATGGGTCACTGAAGCCTGCCAGATCTAACAATGTATTTTTCTAAGGATTTAAAAATGTTTTTAAATGATTTTAGCCTTTAGTTTCAATATTAAGCAAGGAAAGTTTTTTAGTAAATATTAGTGAAGTTAAGTTACTTGGGTTGAATTTTGTGTTTCTTCTGGTTTGCAAGTTGATAGGAATGTCCACGAAGCACACTTAAAAAGAAAATTAAAGGAACAAATAACAATGACAATTTTTTTTACTTTTTCTGTTCAAAGAGAGCATGTGTTTAGCAAGTTAGATTATGAGTAATATTTTATTGAATCTATCAGATAATTTGTTTCCATCACAGAGATGTGATTTTCACCTATATTTTTTCTCCTAAATGTTCAAATTATTTATCATGTTAAAAGCCACAAATTAATCTTTACAAAAAGTACCAGCAGGCTGGGCACCGGTAGCTCCCACCTGTAATCCTACCTACTCAGGAGGCTGAGATATGAGGATCGAGGTTCAAAGCCAGCCCCGGTAAGAAAGTCTGTGAGACTCTTAACTCCAATAAACCACTAGAAAATGCAAGTGGTGCTGTGGCTCGAGCCGTACAGCACTTGCCTTGAGCTGAAGAGCACAAGGACAGCACTCAAGCCCAGAGTTCAAGCCCCATGACCGACAAAAAAAAGGTACCAGCAGACTTAAATAAACAAGCTTTAGAAAGGATAGTAGTCCATATAATGAATAAATCTATTAAATGAATATTGAAAATAATTTTGGGCAGGAAGCTTTGAGCATTAATGCCTTTACAAATTATTTGTAATTATACCAAATTTATTCATTAAAACATAAAATTTCAAGGTTGTCATTACGTTTTATTTACAGTTTATAGAAATCAGTACCAGTGAGAGATATTTTAATAGTCTAATAAATTTTAGACAAAAGTGAAATCTTATTTTTATACTAATATTATTTTTGTACTATTTTAATTGCATGAAGAGCACTTTGATTCTTATGCTACAAATGGTACTAATTATCAGGGCACATTTTTACTTGTGGCATCTATTTAGAAACAACATTGTCAACTGTTCATTAGTCTACACAGTTGGAAAATGTTTATGTTAGAAGCCAAAAGAATGTGAAATACAAAGTTAAACACATGACAGAAAATGTGACTGATGAATTTTAGCTCTTAGGAAAAAAAATGAAAAAAGAATATTTGAATAGCTTTAGAATCGCTTTATGATGTTTTAAAGGTCTAGAACTTTTATTTTTACCTTTCAGTTCGGATATATTACTTTAAATATTTCACATTAATCATTTTCCAAACTAAAGTAACTATTTTGTAACTTTTTTCACCCAATCCTCAGGCTTGAACTCAGGGCTTGAACTGTCCCTAAGCTTTTTTGCTCAAGGCTAGTGCTCTGCCACTTGAGCTGTAGCTCTACTTCTGGCTTTTTGCTTTTTAATTGGAATAAGAGTTTTAGGGACTTTCCTGCCTGGGCTGGTTCAAACCATAATCTCGGCCTCCTGAATAACTAGAACTACAGAAGTGAGCCACTGGCAATTGCCTCTTCTGTAACTTATTTGTTTTGTTCTTTCATTTCCATATGTGCTTAGTGGAGACATAAATTTGAGCCTTCTGTTTAGATAAATGACACTAGGTTCCATATTTATTGATTGATTGATTGATAAGTACCACTTTCAGTCCCACAAGAGTTTTGTTTTGGTAAAAGCAGTATTTTTACTATAGACTGAAAATAACTATTCTTATAAAGGATTATTTCACCAAATAAATACTAGTGGCGTATTACTCAAGGGAGATGTGAGTGTACTTAGCGTCTCTTTTTAATGAAAACATGATTTGAGTCCTGCTTCATGTATTTTTAAATAATTTTAAACTTACACTCTAACCAATTTTTCCCTTTGAAGAAAGAAAATAATAATTCTTCCAAATAGTCATCTTGACAGTGTTTCTCCATTGCTCTCAGGTTGTGATTTTTTGTAGGCCATTTCCATTTGAGACTGTTAGCACCCTCGCTACCCTTTCCCATGACTATCCACTTTTTATATGCGTCAGATGTAAAACCACCACAGTAGGGTCATAGTGATAGGAACCGGTTGTAAGATGCTAAGACTACTTTCTACTAACACTTGTTCCTTGGTTTGAAGATGGGAAGGGACAGTAAGACACATAAATTCTGTGTGAAGACTCTGGAACTGCCATAGTTACAGGTGTACATCTCTACTCTGGGGATCTCTTCCTAGGCACAAGTTGTCGGTGATCATTGTAGGACTTCACCAAAGACCTTTCAAAGCCACGGGAAAGAACATTTAAGTGAATTGCCTGTGTTTAGATGTTTTTTCATACATTGAAACTTAAAATAGTTTAGTTTTAGCTTTTAGATGTCTGTTCTAAACATGCAGTGACACATTTGTTCTGTAAGGACTAATTTTCTCAAAAGAACTCATCTACTACTCAAAGTAAATTCATGAAGGATAAGTTTTATAATACAACTCCTTTTATTTATTTTGTGTATAAATGGGTAGGTAAAGAGATTCACACATACTTGACATTTTACACTTTCTAAATTCAATGTATAATAAATACTCTGCTAAAGATGGTATATTACACATAATGTGCTCAGAATTTTATCTGCATAACTGACTTATTTTAATGTATTGTCATTTTCATCAGTGTCAGAAAACCTCAGTATAGGAGTTTTGATAACAGGAAGAGTGATTGCAGGGTTTTTTATTTACTGTAATTATAAGTTAGTGTTTTTAAAATTTTGTAAAGAACTGTGAAACTGAGAGGATAGCTTTAGCAAGAAAGATCCTGCAACAAGTAATAAAACCTTGCTTGTTTTCTAGTTACTACAATTTGGGTGATGTGAGCCATGATTCTGTGAATAAGTTTCTGTCTCACCTTATTGAGAAGTCCTTGGTTGAATTGGAGCTTTCCTACTGTATTGAAATTGCAGAGGTATGACACATTCTAATTGCTCATATTTTCAATAATAGGATTTTATCCTCCAGTGATACCTGGTTTTGTAATGAAATTATTATAGCACCAACAATCTATATGAATTATTAATTTTTGAAGAATATGTACTTTTCAATATACTTTTTTATTTATGTCATTTTTTTCTTTCTTTCAAAATAGGATAATCGGAACATTGAGCCTCTGACATTTGGTCGAATTGCGTCCTATTACTATTTGAAGCACCAGACAGTTAAAATGTTCAAGGACCGTTTGAAACCTGAAAGCAGTACTGAAGAATTGCTTTCAATCCTAAGTGTGAGTTTATGTTATAATTGTGCTGTTGCTGAGTATATATTTCATAACTTTGAGTCTTAATCATTGCCACCCACTTCTTGGAATTGAACAGCAACTCTTTAAGGGGTATTTTCCTCTGTCAACCATTTTACTACTAAGTTTTATATTTAGACTAAATTCCCCATGAATTTATTATTTATCATTCATATTTGGATCCTTCTGAAAGTAGAATGGTGAACTATTACTATTTAGGCCAGGATAAAAGGTATAAGCTGTATTGCAAAGCCAGCCAGATGGTTCCCTTGTCCTGAGAATACCATTGTCTGAATTATGATTGAAAGCTTTTCTTATTGCCTTTTTTAGATGGTTCTTGTTGAATACTTAGCTATGATGTCGCTGATGTTTCTTACCTGTTTTTCTATTAATATTCACGCTATTATCAGGAGTATCTTTCTATGTACTCTATACTCTGATTTTGTTTTACTTTGTGGAGTTCAATGATTTACCATAAAACTTCATTGAAACAATGTGTGTACACACGCATAAACACATACATTTGTATAAGTATGAATTATATTTCAAATGGTTATTCTGACTAATATTTTTATTGTTTTTCTATACAAAAGGATTAAAAGATCTGAGGTGTAACTATCAAAAATATTTTTCTAATCAAACAGATAACTTGGGCCTGTAATTCTAGGAACTCAAGAGGCTGAGCTCTGCTGACTATGGTTTAAAGCCAGCCTGGCCAGAAAAGTCCATGAGTATCTTATTCCCAATTAACCAGCAAAAAACCAAAAGTGGAGGTTACCTCAAGTGATAGAGTGTAACTCTTGAGTGAGAAAGCCAAGTCTCAGTGTGAGGCCCCGAGTTCAAATCACAGCATTGGCGTGAGCATACACACACACACACCACACACATACACACACTCACCAAAAAAAAGAATGAAAATTTATCACTTTTGAGGGAAAAGATTAAAATATGATTTTTTAGACTCCTACAGACTAAAATCATTAAAACAGGATTCTCTGGGTAAATGATTATTAACAGAAGAAGCAGTAAAATAATCATTAAAAAATGTGAGCATGCAAGTTAAATTAGTTTCTGTCAGATTCAAAACTTTTTGGGGGGAAAAGGGGGATCTGGTCATGGGGCCTGAACTCTGGACCTGGGCGCTGACCCTCAGCTCTTCAGCTCAAGGCTAGCGCTCTACCACTTGAGCCACAGTGCCACTTCTGGCTTTTTTCTTTTTGCTTACATGGTGCTGAGGAATCGGACCCAGGGCCTCATGCATGCAAGGCAAGCGCTCTACCACTGAGCCACCTTCCCAGCCCCAGAGTCAAAACTTTTATCTCAACCAAAGTCTGGGTAATGGTAACACATGCCTGTAATCCCAGATACAGGGAATGCATGTTAGCTGAGCACAGTGGAGCACTCCCAATATCCCAGTGACACAGGAAAGTAGGAAGTCCCAGACCAGCCCAAGTATAAAACAAGATCCTGCCTTAAAAATAACCAATGCAGGGCTGAAAAGGTGGCTCAGTGGTAGAGTGCTTGCCTCACGTGCATGAGGTCCTGGGTTCAATTCCTCAGCACCACATAAACAAAAAAGCCTGGAAGTAGTCATGTGGCTCAAGTGGTAAAGCGCTAGCCTTGAGCTGAAGAGCTGAAGGACAGCGCCCTGGCTCAGAGTTCAGGCCCCACAACCAACAAATAATAATAATAATAACCAATGCAAAGGGGAGGGAGGCTGGAACCAAATCTACACAAGCCTGAGGCCCTGAATTCAATTCCCAGTGCTGTTAATCAATTTTTGTGAGTAGTTTTTCTCACTGAAAAGTACTTTTAAATGTTTTCCTACCAAGACCAAAAGTAGGTGACTCACAGACCCTCAGTATTATCCCTACTCTCACCCCCAGATATGCATGTTGATTTCCTTGTGGTTTTCAAACTACAAGAAGCAGCAGTGAGACAGAACCCGCAGGGAGCAGGATGATAATAGGTAGAGATGGTAAAAGTGCAGCAGTGGCTGTCACGTAGTTTCTCAAACACCTGTTTGCATTTTCACTATTTTTATTATTGTAATAATAAACTCATGTTATGATTTTTAATAATTCAGTATTATAATTTATTCACCCTCAGTCATTCTACAAAACACTCATGGGTGGTTCTTGTTTATTAAATTTATCTTTTCAGTATGAAAATTTAGTGTTTCTTAAGTTAATTCCATTCTATATTCTATTCTGTATTCTATATTCTATTCTTTTGAGAGTTATTTTGAACTTATAATATTTTATTTAACTTGTCAGTGATAAAGCTTTCTCTTTTTTACTCACATGTGTCTCTTTTTTGTTTTCTTGGTGTTAATTATAATATGGAAATTACACTTATTAATACTTTCTTTTAAATCCTTAAAATGAATAATAATATGATTGTTGTTGGCACCAAGAAAATAATCTAGAAGGCAATCATGCAATGAGAATATTAAAACTTTGATTTACCAGAACACTTAAAAATATATATACCTACTATTTCCCTTCAATTAATTTCAAAGCATAGTTGATAGATGTAGTATAGATCAAAAATATATCCAGAAAGGGCTGAAATACAATTAATAAAAATTAAAAATTAAATTTATTAAAAATTGCAAAAAAGCCAGAAGGATCTGTGGCTACAAGCTAGCTACTCAGGAGGCTAAGATCTAGGGAACAAGGTTCAAAGCCAACTTGGACAGAAATGTTCCTGAGACTCTTATCTCCAATTAACTAACAAAAAGACAAAAATGAATGTGTGGCTCAAGCTGTAGAACACTCACTTTGAGCAAAAAAATCTAAGGAGGCCCCAAGTTCAAGCCCCAGTAAGTACACACACACACACACACACACACACACACACACACACACACACACACACACACACACACACACGATACAATTGTGACTGAAGAGATAATTTTTATTGAGATTAAGTGATTACATAAATTGCACAAATTTCACAGTATTGTATATAAAGATACTTGGTTAAAGTCACCAACACATTTTAACCTTCATATCACTCTATTATATAAAAAATTTAATCAACAGTAAAAAAAAATACACTGCCAATGATTTTTTTATCCTTGTTACAGTTCTTTGAGACCTCTGTTTCCCACTTTTAGAAATCAAACTGTCTCTACTTACATCATCATCTTTAAATGATAATAAAGGTAAGTATAAGGCCAAAGGTTTTATTGAAACTCTTTTCCTTCACTAATCTTCTACAGTAGTAACCCACTTGCTTAAATTTTCTTTCCAATACAGCCATTTAAAAAATAACTAGTTTTTGTGGAGCAACAACTATATGTCAGCCACTTAGCCTAATTTATAAGCACCAAGCAACTTTTCATGGCAAGTGTTAATATATAATGACAGTGAATTTTATGAAAATTAAATTACTTTATGGATTATAGAAAGTAGCTTTCTCCTGTAACTCCCTATCATATCTTGGCATGTTGAATCTTTATCCAATAACTCAATTCTAGCTATAAAAGTTTTTCTAAGTATTGAAATATAAAAGTATATATTTTTAGAAATTAAAGCCAGGCACCAGTGGCTCATACCTGTAATCATAGCTACGCAGGAGGCTGAGATCTGAGGATCACGGTTCAAAGCCAGTCCGGGCAGGAAAGTCTGTGAAACTGTTATCTCCAATAAACCACCAGAAAACTGAAAGAGGCACTGTAGCTCAGGTGATAGAGCATTAGTCTTGAGCTTAAGAGCTGAGGGACAGTGCTCAGGCCCAGCGTTCAAGCCCCATGACCGACAAAAAAAAAAAATAAAGAAGAAATTAAGAACATATACTACTGTTAAAATTTGTTACCTTATAATTTAGAATACAAGTACTAAGTATATATATATGTATATATATATATATATATATACACACACACACATATATTACTTGTAAAATAATTATTTCAGCATCCCGAATTGAATATTTACATTTTTAAGTTGTAAACCATCTGATGCTATTTCAGAAAGGTTAGGTATTTTAGAAGAGCCCTTGCCAAGTTTTTTTTAACACTATGAATTAATAAGCTTCATAATTAAGGCAGCTGCTTCACACCTCTATTGTTAACCAATGACATTACATCTGTCTTGCTTCACTGATGCCCTCCTCCTACTTATTGAAGCATTTAGCAGTTTTGGCAACAGGGATTACATGGCTTGGAGTTAGTGGTCTAATTAGACATAAGTGAAAATCCTAAGGGAAAAGGACATTTAAAAAGTAATTTGAAGAATCTCCTAATGAGGTTGGCACTGAAAGCCCAAGTCTACAGAAGAAGTGCCTGTCGTCATGGCAAACCAGGAGCATGATTTGATATATTCAGTGGACTTTTCGAAGGTAGCCTATTTTAAAACAGTAACAGAAATGAGAAGCTTTTAAAGCTTGGGAAAATGCATTTGGGAACTTGGCTATTCTAAAATAGCAATCATATTCTTATATTAATAACTGAAGGAAAGCAAACTATGCCCCCCAAATATATTTATGCCTCTAGGTTTTCAGCTATTTTTATAAAATATACTTGATTTTTTTATGTTTCTTATACAGAAACACACGATGTAGTTTTATGTCAAGTATCCAATAAGATTATAGTTATATTAAATATTGGATTGTGTACATGTATATCAAATATCCAATTTGAAAAATTATGAAAATCTTATTTCCCAAAAAAGACAGATATTAACCAAAAGAAAATTTTGTGTGTTGATGTAAATTAAAGCCATTCCACATGTAGAAAAGTACCAGAGCAATATGATTTTTATTTATCAATACATTGCCATACTGGCAGTACTGCTTTGTTTAAAAACAGTGACATAAAGATGTTCTGCAGATTACATTCTTTTTTCCTTTGCATTTTCATAAAACATTCTCAATAATAGAGAATTCGTAATGCTTGAATTTTGTCACTTTGGAACATGGATACAAACCTTTTTGTAGCAAACTACAAAAAAAAACATTCTCAAGTTTACAAGGTTAGA